GTAACAGTGACCCAGAATATAAGGCCAAATAATGCTTCCTGCTTTGTAGAATCAACCACAAATGACAGTATCTATCGTTTTTCAATGAGCATAGGAGAAACGCATCTGTCGTTGGTGACATGTAATGATGAGTAAATGGAGAGCGATTTAAAAAAAAAAATATTTATTTATTTATTTATTTATTTAATTAATTAATTAATTAATTAATTAATTTTTTTATTTTAAAAAAAATAAATTTTTTTTTGGGGGGGAGAGTTTCACAATGTTTTTGCTTGGAGTACGTGCCAAAGGAAAAGGCTGAGCGTTAGATAGCTTTTTGAGTAAATATGAGCTCAACTAACAAAGAGGAGTTGAATTTCTTACACCCAGTCACCAGATGTAAGTTGAGTACATGCGTTACTGTACAGCGGCGTTCAAAAGAAACTTGAAAATGTAATCACCCAATCATCGTGTTAAAGCCTTGCACTACCCACTCATGCAGCATGCCAATAATAAAGCTAAATACATCCTGCATCATCTGACACAATAATATTTCACGTATGTAAAGAGATGCTCGAGATATGTTCACTTAAAATTGACCTTAAAAACTCAGGCTAGGCAAAATTGTGCGAAATCAAAGAAACGTAAAAGTGTGTTCGAGCGTGTATTTAGGTTCATCAACGTTGGTGGAATGGATATGTATTGAATATCAAATGAAAAGGAAATATTATTGTCTCTGCAATGAGCAGCATCTTCTGAAATACATTTTCAAACAAGTTAGAAAACAGGTTACTTGCAAATACCATGCTGAACTGAGACTTAACATTACATATTAATATGCTCATTAGTATGATTTTTTTTTTGGTTTAGGAGCTATTGGTCTTCTTGTAGAGCACAAACCCTCGGATGGCTTGCTTTAGTTGACTACATCGTGCAAGTGTTGGAATGTCATGTCTTACCCTTATTTCCCTCATGGTGTCATTCAAGTAGACATCTCCATTCAAGGCAAATCACTTTCTCATTGGGCCAATATTATTATCACAAAACAATTCTTGGAAAACTATCCCATATCAACGTTGGAGTGGTCACCAGTAAATAGCCCGATATGAATCCTACAGGTATGTGAAATCCCATGAAATAGCAGCTGAAGAAAACTGACGTTGCTCCCAATTCAGACCCTTCGTTTGCAACCGTCTGTGACATCTGGGATGAAATGACTGATAATTGTCCTCAATTTAGCAGAGTCGATGCCCTATGGGTTCGTGCACAACACAAAACCAATGGCTCCTACGCAAAATAACAATGAACACATGTTAAGTCCGTTTTGTGGTATTTGTGATTGCTCAGTTTTCTGTTTTGTTCGAAATTGAAACTATCGACATTTATATATTGTTTATTGCAGAGAAACAAATTCTCCATTCATTGGATATGCAATGTAGCCTATGTCCATTCTATCAACATTGATGGTCTCCAATATACGTGCAAAGACAACGTTTCTGTGATTTCGCACAATTTTGCCAAGCCTGAATGTTTACGGTCAATTTTGAGTGACCATAGTATTATCTCGAGCATCTCTTAACATAGATGAAATATTATTGTGTCAGACAGATGATGCAGAATTTATTTAGCTTTAAATTGGTATTGGGTGATTACATTATGAAGTTTCTTTTGGAACCCACTGTATAATACACATCTGTCAAAGGGAAGGGTTAATATGTAAAGCCCATGTCACTCTCAGCGATAAATCGTATTACATTCTTCGTATAGTAAAACTGTCAGATTTATCAAACTCCATATTCTGTTTAAACATTCCATTTTATAGTGTCCAATTCCCTTTAAATTGGGAGAGATTCCTTCTTCTTGCGCCAGATGACTCTTCGCAACAATTTGCCTGCTTTCTCTGTGTTTTTACTTAACAAACGTAAAAAAAGAGGCCCATGAAGTTATTAGTTGCAAAATTCTAAAGACACAAACTCTCTCCACGCCCTCTCTTAATGATTTGTTATTGTAGTCTCTGGACTTAATCGTCCACAGACATTCGAGGGATCTGTAGGCCTCTACTTCTCAATGAAGAGAATAATAGATTCTTTCGACCGAGTCACCATAAGGCCTACTGACTACTGTACACTGTACAGTGACTGTCCAGTTATAGATAGTAGATATCTAGTGTACAGTGTGTAGTCCTGACAGCTTTGACGTCAGATCATAGATGTACACTATAGGAGATAACTCTATGCGTCAGATGCACTTACAACGCACTGGGTGACCCTGGATGCCTAACTTTTGTTTGAAAATAGACAATTGAAAAACAAAGTTTGCTCAAGTTTTAAAATACGGCATCAAATCAGGTTCCACGTGAGCCACTTTGCTTATTTTGATATGCTGATTTCGAAAATGAAATCAGTTGTTAGCTGCGATAATTATTTTGAAAATTCTGCGCGCAAAGTTTAATCCCGCGCGGCGGCAAACGTCAAAGGAATTTTGCTTCACAGCCTCCCACGTGTCACTTCACACTGAGGGGGGGGGGGGTTATTATAAGATCAGTTAAAAGCATAGATGTACACTATAACTCTATGGTTAAAAGTGACTGTTGTATGTCCTCTTTATGACAGGAAAATACTACAAGATGCAATCTTGGTAGAATCAATATGAAATACTTTTTTTTGTGATCTTCTAAATCCAGCAAGAAAAACGGTCACTCGCGAGTTATTTTGTTAATTTGGACACGCCACGCTGGTTTCGAATTTGATATTATTTTTACGATTAGACATAGTTTTAATTGTTTATTTAAAAATCATTTTGTCGGCCCGCGGGTGTATCGATACCATCATTAATACCATCACAACGGGGGTATTCGCTTAAGGCAGTCGCTGTTCCCCGGACACATTTTTTCCTGTTTTTAAAAATAGAGTCGCTGTTCCCCGATGCTCCGATTCGCTTAGGGCAGTCGCTGTTCCCCGGACACATTTTTTCCTGTTTTTAAAAACAGAGTCGCTGTTCCCTGGTGCTCAGGACGACAACGCCACGCCACATCGCGCACGCATCGTGGGGGACTTCCTGCAGCAGCGAGCTGTCACTCGCATGGACTGACCAACTTGTAGTCCGGATTTGAACCCAATAGAGAACATTTGGGATCACATTGACCGGTGGATAAGGGACAACCACCCTCCAGCACAAAACCTTCAACAGCTCATGGGCTGCGTCATCCAGGAGTGGCAGAACCTACCGCAACAAGTTCTCAGAAGGCATGTCCTGTCCATGCTTCGACGCTGTGCCGAGTGTTTGATCAAACGGAGTGGCTACATCCACTATTGACAATGTTCATGAAAAACTTTGGCTGTTCAGATTTTTTAAATTCGACCAGCGTAACTGAAACTCATTTTACATGAACTTCTAGTTTTTGTTGAAATCTGAAATTGTACACACTTAATCTAAAGAGTCGAAAGCATCTTTTTTTTGAAAAAAATGAATAAATTCGGTTAAACTGTTATTCAGTTATCTTTCTTTGAATTTTTGTTCCTTGACTTTTTTGTGCGAGTTCTAAGTTTATTATAGTGACAAAGCAAACCATAGTCAGAGTGCGCTTTGTGATGAGCTTGCTATATATATATATATATATATTATACATACATATATATGCACAGCATATAATAATATGTGTTTGGCACATTTCTATTGCACGAATGAATTGAAACAACTCATCACTGCTTCTGTCAGTGATGTCTGTTTTCTTTTATTACATCATCTATTTTTAGCTCATAATATGTCTTATAGGCACAAATAAATTATAGTCACTCCGGTTTGTTTGTTTTTTAAATATAAAGAGCCATCAGTAAGGTTCTGGGCCATGTGAAGTTAAGGTTGACTAGCAGCTAGATCTAGATCTTTTCCACAATGGGCAGGTAGTTTCTTTATCAAACAGTGTACTTTTTAATGATTTGTTTTATTGAATGTTGTCCAAAAACATCTTAGTAAATGTTTTTGTTTCAGTTATCACTACACTGTGTAGAAAAACAATTGACCAGGCTACAAAACAAAATTAACTTCACTTATTAATCTTTAGTAAGTCCAGAGTTGTCACAGTTGTTTTACTAATGTCTAAAATCAGACTTACTTAAAACAGCAATAGCAGGAGCTTTAGTTTAAGTCCTGTATATGGTCTATTTTAGTTCTCAAAATCAGTATAAACCTAAGTTTAATACCGACATAAGAAAACACTACTTATTTGGTATACTTCAAAAACATAAGTGAACATAAAAATGAAAAATACAGTTTCCTGTTCAAATGTCACAAGGTAAAGTTTAACTCGATTTTTTAAATATTAGTACATGTATTCATCATTTGTTTGGCTGAATTTGCTTTATCAAGAGCTTCATTGCCTTCCTACCCCTAATGACAGAAAAACTCTGGAATTCATATATTTGGGGTGGGGGGGGGGGTGGTGTTGGAATTCGGGAGGAAAGAGACGGGGGGGGGGGGGGGGGTTGGGAGATTCCCATGACACCCACATCTTTTCATACTTCTTTTTAAAAGTTCTATAGGCCGTATACGCTTTGATTCAGTCAATAAGAAATAAACCATCTCGTAGATAAAATGCTCATGAAGAAAAAACGTAATTTGGGGGGGGGGGGGGGGTCTTTCTTTTTTTAAGCCTATACCTCTATCTCTATCTAGTTAATAATACATTCATTTGTAGATCTAGTTGTAGAAAGAACGCTGTATAATTGCTATTTAGTAATCTAGATATAGTAGGTAACGGGCGCCCATGTAAAAAAAACAAATCAACAAGGAACAAGCCTCGCCTATCGCGTAAAAGAGAGAGAAAACATGCCTAGCCCATTGAAAGGACCGGCACTGGGTTTCGCCGATACCGCCCAGCACTGTGTGTGTGTGTGTGTGTGTGTGTGTGTGTGTGTGTGTGTGTGTGTGTGTTTGTGTTTGTGTGATAATATTGCTATGCTATGCTTAGTGACTACATATAGCAAAAAAGCACTGGAATATAGGCTTAATAAGACACTCACGTATTTGAAGGCTTCTGGAAGTGATAAGTAACCTTCGAGAAGCCGCGACCATCCTCTTTATCACCATCGTCTGCCTGTAAACAGAAACCAAAGCCAAACTTAGGGAGTTTGTCTTGCGACAATTTATTTTTTACTGATGCCGCTATTCTACTCAGTGCATGGGGGCTCCAGTGGCTAAGTGAGCAGTGAGTTTTGACTCAAGCAATGTCAAGCAAGTGTCGGTGACACGGAGATCAGATGGGTGGTCACTGGAGTGTGTCCTTGAGCAAGACACGACAACCCTAGCTCAAATTACAGGGCGCTGCACTGTGGCGACCGACAGTGGCATTGTTTGTAAACTGTTCTGTATTTGTGTAATAGTGTGTATTTATGTATGCATGTATGTATTTATGTATGTTACGTATTTATAATTATGTATTTATGTATGTATGTTTGCCATTGTAAAACAAAGTGCCCTTCTGGGACAAATAAAAGTGTAATTTATTATTATTATTATTATTATTATTAATTATTATTATTATTATTATTATTAGATCTATTTGGATTTGTGGTTTGCTTGATTCAAGTCTTCATTTAGCGCCCTCCGCTGACGTCATGTCACGATATTTAATAGACTAATATAATAATTCATAAATAGCATTTTATAATATCCGCTCAACAGCAAGCTCTCTCTATAATATAAATCATATATACATGTATAATATGCGGCTTACACTTTCATATTATTATCACCCCCAGTTGACCCTGGATCACTCTTAAACATTCTCGGCTTCTCGCTGATTAAGAGCCCAAACACTAACAACCTGAGATCTTTCGCTGTCTATTGTCGGGTACCCATTCCACCTAGGTGAAATGGGGAAAATTCGTGTCAGTCTTTCCAAAGGACACACCTTCAGGCTCCCGGCGGGATTCGAACCCAGGACCCTACGGTTGCGAGTCCGAGGGCCTAACCACATTGATGACCGGTACTGTCTTTTTTATATGTATATTATGTATATAAAAAAGGAAAGACAATAAAATGTAGTTTTGGGAACACTTTGATCTAATAAAGGCATTGGACATCTTTTTCTCAAGTTAGTTTGTTAATTTTTAAATTCATTTTTATCTAGAGTATAGGAGCGGATAAATTAATAGAGAACTGTGATTACTGATGCGTATTTCCGATAATGACACTCAATGATGGAGATGATTGTCTTTTTTAACACCCATAAACAGTCAGTGTCAAAGGTGGGGCACTCGGCCACTCAAATTGACTTGAGTAAAGAAGGAAGAGGAAAAGAAGACAGGAATGAAAAAAGACTGTATTCTTTTTCAATATAGGCCTAGTTAAATACGAATATAATTATGTTATTTTTTTTACTCTTTTTTATTTAGTAGAGGTTTTACGGCACTCACAACTGCATAAGGTAATAATACGAGCGCCAAGGGGTAGATGTCAACTGAGAAGTCTTTACAGGGAATCAGACTTACTCTGCTCACCTCTCTAGCTTCAAGAGTACATAGTATAGTATGTTTCGACTTTCAAGTCACCCCGCCGGAAATAGCGGGTCACAAAAGAAGTAGAGGAAAAATGACAATAGTGAGGATTAGGAAAGAAAAAGCAGCCGTTCCCTGTTGTAGATCTGGCATAGTTATGAACTTATGAGCATGACATTCATGAATCAGCCCATTTACAATTCTACTGTGCATGAACGAGAAATGTCCCCCGTTTGGGAATGGCCAAAAGACACTTCGATCAGTGGCACCGCCCGGGGGGTTTTCAGATTCTGTACACAGGGGGTCTCAAAAACCCAAATAACATGGGGGCCGCTGTATGCAGGGTCTGAGCCGAGACCTAGGTCTCTGGTCTGGGTGTGCCAAGACCGCATCAAACATTTCACTAAAAAAGAGAGATTCAAGTACATGATGTACATTATTACGTATTGTTTTAAGCAGTGCTGTGCATCTGATCCAATCTTCTCAACTTCCATTATTAACAATTCCGAACATGAACATGTGTTCAGAATTTTTTAAAACAAATTATCAGACTTCTCTTCGACCGAGGCTAACTCCTTATACGGGGTGCCCACTACGGACGGGATCGGCGATCGGGCCGATCGCCCGACTCGATCGCCTCAAAAACAAACGTGTTTGTGCCCACGACGGCTGGATCGGGCCGATCCCATCTGTAGTGGGCTCCACATTTCACTTGAAAGAGGAAGAAGAGATACCCATGAAGATGGTCATCTACGTTGTGAACTGTACTTTGATGTTATGACAAGAGATTCACGTCAGAATAAACATGAAAATGAAATTGACCAAAAATAGCGTTTCGGCCAAAGAGAGCTTTGCTTTGAGAATTGGCTGTTATTGAAACTCGGTTTTTGTTGTTGTTTTTTGTTTTGTTTTTGTTTGTTTGTTTTTTTTGTTTTTTTACATTAATCTGCTTTTATATTTGTACAAGGTAAATGATATAATAAATCAATCACATCTAGTGCATGTGTAGAACGAAAAGTTTCTCCGAACGCATTGGAAAAGGCGGGTTCGTTTGTTAATGTCCTTTGATCTGAAAGCGTTGCGTACGTAGTCGCCGCATGATGAAAGCTTGTTAGTTTGTGTTCACTGTAAATTGTAAATCTAGCATCTGCATTTATCGAGGCCGCGATTGTTGCATTTTTTTTTTTAACACCGTCAGGGAATAAAAAAATAGAGAAAAAGGGGTAGGCCTATAAAAAAAAAAAAAAGAAGAAACCGAACCTCTTTACTTTTTTAAAGAAAGTTTATTTTCACTTCTGCTTCACTTCGTCTTTTCTTTCTTGTTGACACCACGACGATTTGTTATTTTCATGTGAAAAATATTCATAAGTACATTACATACTATTTATATTGCTGGTTTTTTTCTTTTTCTTTCTTTGATGGATTTTTAATTTACTGGTGTCTTAATTTTTTTTCCTTGTAGTTGTTCCGGTGTGTTTTCTATGTTTTGTTATTATAGCCTATAATGTCAATGTCATTTAATTTGATGTTGTTCTTAAGCGTACCTTTAAAAGAAATAAATAAATGAGTTAGGTCAGAGCGTGTCTCCACCAAAACCGAATACATGTACTGACACTGACAGGCCCCTTGTGTGTGATTCCTTAATTTACTTGTAATATTCTGTACTTTTTTCTTGAATTACACACGTTTAGAGTTAAAACGGCCAATCCTTGGATATTATATGGACACACGCCCTTATTTGTTAATTTTTGTATTTGTTTATATGTTCTGTTCTAATCTTGATTTCATTCTGTTGTGAAACCTTTATTTTTCACGTTTTTACACTCTGTGTGGCTACGAATGATATTCTGGATGCTTGAAACGGAACACATGAAATCCTGGTGCTTTGGATTAAGTTACGTCTATCAACATATTGCTATGTACGTCGTCACAGAGAGTGGAAAGCTTGAAAATTATTTGCAACTTTTGGACAATAAAATGGGAACAAACGCAGATGCTAGGTAAATGTTATATATTTTTTATGTAGCTTGTTCACTTTCATCTCTGAATACGTTCATTCTAGCTCACAACTCACAATTTATTAATGTAAGTATGCTCACGAAACTTTGCATCGCACTTATGCCAGCCCACGATCAAACAAAATTAAAAGGGGGTGCTTATTTAGGCCACATATGGCCTAAATAAGGTAAGGGAGGGGGGGGGTTAGCTTATTTAGGCCATACATGCTCAAACTACCCTTTTCAGGCAACTGAGTTTGTTCCACTTTCATAATGGAGCACCTTTCTCATTTAGTACAGTTTTGTCTCAGTGTACAACTTATAAATCATAATCATAATGAATATTGTAAGAACAAAGCACAATACGCAAAATTTTGCTCAATCCCAATGATTTGAATGAGGGCCAGATTTTTTCTTTATGGAAGGGCAAAAGCTTGGCTACCATTTTGGCACACTTTGGTCAAATGAAAAGGTCAAATCCTCCGAATGGACTTCCGGGTCAAATTTGGGGTATTAAAAGTGTGTACACAACGTGGCTGAGTCAAACTTACAGTATCTTTGCCTGAGTGGCACTCTCTCGTACTGTCTCGAAGTACATGTAGTAGCAAAGATCGTGTAGATAATCTTTGGTAGTAGATTCTATCCAGTAGGCAGTTTAGTGAACGTGCACGCGGCAGGGCGAATCTGCCTCGATAAGCCCTGTAGACTTTTGTGATCGGCCACGAAACCTCGTGTTTTGATGGGTCTAAACAACTCAAGTGTTAATCGCACTGCCACATCCGACAGGCCTACATCTTTTTAAAAGGAAAAGAAAGATCATCAAAATGGTTTGAATTCGCGTGAAAATCGATTTGGTAGAACTGGAACTATTAAAATTTGCTTCTGAAAACAAGGCAATTTTTATAACTTGATGAAATAAAAACTACTGGCTGTGTTATTCTGTATAAATTATGAAACTTCAGGACGTATTATTATTCAACATCTTTTGACGCCTGAGCTGTACAGGTTGAAGTTTTCACAACACTAATAGATATAGGGCTTTCCGTAAAAAATACAATGTATTCTACAAAAGCCGAACCACCAAGTCGACCGGTCAACGACCCGGGCACCCCACTCTCCCCTGCACACTGTGATAGAGTGTTGCCTCGGTATCGCATTATTGAACTATTAATACGTGCGACTAGACTATGGCAATTGGGATGAACTGACTAACAAAACAATTCACAGTTTTGTTTTTATTTTACCATATATTTGACTTTAATAGTGCAGGTCATGATAGCTAGATCTAGATTCCCTTTCTGGAATCAGTAGTAGCAGCTATGCTAGAAGCAGCCAGAGAGCCTACAACAACTGCTAGATCTAGATCTCACTTATTGCTATGCCTTTGGGCTTTGGAATTGAAATAAAACGAATTGCACAGTTCTAGTTAATTTTAGATTCAGCAACTAACTGTATTTCCAGAGTTAACTATAACAAATCTCACCATAACAATCACTTTTACTTTTATTAGAATAATTAGATCCAACTTTTTTTTCTAAAATATGTTTTGCGCAAACTTAAGATTTTTTTCTACTTGTAGAGCACAGAATTTATATTGTAATGTAAGCCTCTGCTCAGTCTTTTAGTATACATAATAAAATACACACACACACACATATATATATATATATATATATATATATATATATATATATATATATATATATATATATATATATATATATATATATATATATATATATATAAAATCATTTTATGTTATTTTCAGGATACATGTATTTTTAAAACTCTTTCTTTTAACATGTTCATAAAATCAAATTGTGCCATTTTCTTTTATAAGAATAACATTAGCAGTGGACTTTTTAGACAGCGAGTCTCTGATTCAATTTTTTTTTTTAAATATGCTAATCAATGAAAATTGCAAATTGATAATAGTACAGTCCTGCATAGCGATACAAGAACGATGTGAACCCCGGAGTCACCGCAGTGAAATAAGGTTTGGGTTTAGGTAAGAATTGGTGGACCCCGGGATCAACGTAGCGATAAAAAAGCAGGTTAAGGCCCGGGGTCCACCTAGCGAAATACTAGGTTTTAGGACAGGTGGACTCCGGGGTCACCGTAGTGAAATAAGTAGGTTTCTTTAAAGATTGATGGACCCCAGGGTCACCGTAGAGAAATAAGTAGGTTTAATTTTAAAAGGATTGGTGGACCTCGGAGTCACCATAGCCGTGGAGGAATAAGAAGGTTTAATTTAAGGTTGGTGGACCCCCGGGACACCTTGATTAAACCTACTTATTTTACAACGGTGATCGCAGGGTCCACCTATTCTAAAACCTAGCTAGTATTTCGTTAGGTAGACCCTGGGGTCCACCCTAAACCTACCTATTTCACTACGTTGACTGGAGGGTCCACCAATCCTTAAAATTAAACCTAGATCTACATGTACTTATTTCACTACATTGATCCCAGGGTCCACGACCCCGGGGTCCACAAATCCTTAATTAAACCTAGATCTACTTATAACTTCACAACGTTGACCACAGGCTCCGCCAGTCCTACTATAAAATAAACTGAGATCTACTTATTTCACTATGTTGACCCCGGGGTCCATCGATCCTTAGTTAAACCTAGATCTACTTATTTCATTACACTGACTCCGGGGTTCACATCCTAAAACCCAGCATTTTGTTAGATAGACCCCGGGGTCCATCTATCCTTTAGGCTAGATAGACCCCGTGGTCCGCCTATCCACTTCCTTGATAATAACTGAAAACAATACATTGCCAGTTGTCATGAATAGTGAAGAAAGATGTGTGGGAAAAAAACAAGATAATGAGGTAGACTATAATTTGTCAAAAAAATTGCAAGTGCAAGTGAAGCCTAGATCATAAGATAATTTTGTTGTTTTCTGGTCATCTTTTCACGGTTTATAAAATGTTCCAGTGGGCCTACTACTAGATCTATGTCTCTGAAGAACATTTTGCTTGACTTTATTAGCTTTTTACATGTACTTGAAAGCATGGAATATATAGTTTCACACAAATGTATGCACAATACCTTGAAAAAGAAAGATAAGGTCATTGTTGTTTTTGTTTTTTTACGGAATTTGTAAGGATGCCCATAATATTAGGAATCCGAAATTACTATCTTGATCTAGTTGGCTTACTCTTTAATAACCATGAGCAGTTAAGGAAAAAAAAGAGAATGATATAGGATTTGTCTAATTGACCATTAGCAATAAAGATATTGCCCATTTTGTCCAATTATCATTGCAGGTAAAATCACCCTGTACTGTACCTCAATAAGCACAAAAAGAATATTTCTGTGACTTTGTATAAACGTGTTTTGTAGTTGAGTTCTATGTAAAATTCTCAACAAAATAATGTACATGGACCGTACAACTGAGATAGACACTCATGCACAGAATAACATTCACACATTACAAACACACACACACACACACACACACACACACACACACACACACACACACACAACTCTTACCCTTGGTCCACTTTTCATTTAGTATCATCCTCTATTTTGAAATAATCCCCCGCACTAAATAAAAAGATTAGTAGAATCTCGACCTTCCGAATCCAAGGTTAGTTCAAGAAATCTATCATATGATGTGGCCTAAATAAGGTAAGGGGGGTGGGGTAGCTTATTTGGACCATATGTGGCCTAAATAAGGTAAGGGAGGGGGATTTAGCTTATTTAGGCCACAGTGGCCTAAATAAGGTAAGGGAGGGGGAGTTTAGCTTATTTAGGCCACATGTGGCCTAAATAAGGTCACCCAAATTAAAAAAAAAATCTTGATCGAGTAATAATTTATCTTTTTTTTTGGTTCTCTTTTGGCCCTATATATTATTTTAAAAAGCTCTTTGGATGCACAGGGCATACGCAGTTTCACTGAAATTGTATAGAAGACTTACAGTAACCTTATCAAAAATATTGAAACAGCAACACTACCCTGCCACGTATCATGCCAAGATCTGAGAAGATTAAACAGAACGATTTCATTTTATCTTGTTTTAACCGTGGTCAGACGAAAGTTAACGAGCTATACAGGGTTTTTTTAAAGCGCCTGGAAAATTACAGCTTGCACTGTACGCTTCCCAGGAAATTGAGATTGTTTCTGAATGCTTTTACGTTTGCTAGGGTTATAATATTATTGACTGCAAAGTGCAACAGAGCTTGCTGTTGAGTGGTAATTTGCGCTGTACAAATTAAATGCTATCTATCTATCTATCTACCTATCTGTCTGTCTGTCTGTCTGTATGTGTGTCTGTCTGTCTGTCTGTCTGCATGTCTTCTTCTTCTTCTTCTTCTTCTTCTTCTTCTTCTTCTTCTTCTTCTTCTTCTTCTTCTTCTTCTTCTTCTTCTTCTTCTTCTTCTTCTTCTTGCTATCCTGATGATGATGATGATGAGGATGATGATGATTTTTATTATTATTATTATTACATGTCGTATTATTATTATTATTATTATTATTTTTATTATTATTATTATTATTGTTATTATTATTATTATTATTATTATTATTATTATTATTATTATTATTATTATTATTATTATTATTATATACTATTATTACTATTGTCAATAGGCCCTAATATTTTGATGGAAACATATGTTTAGAACACATCAGTAATTGTTAAAACAACAGTAAATTGACTGTGACCATGAAAATGCAGACACCTTTCTCCAAAATGAGGGGCAAGGGGAATGACTTTAAAAATACAACTCTTGTTAAAATGATACCATAGATAGGCCTACCTGATGGCAAGCGGTTGAAAAGTGCAACAGAGCTTGCTGTTGAGTGGGAATTTGCGCTGTACAAATTAAATGCTATCTATCTATCTACCTACCTATCTGTCTGTCTGTATGTGTGTTTGTCTGTCTGTCTGTCTGTATGTCTGTCTTCATGTCTAATTCTTCTTCTTCTTCTTCTTCTTCTTCTTCTTCTTCTTCTTCTTCTTCTTCTTCTTCTTCTTCTTCTTCTTCTTCTTCTTCTTCTTTATATGATGATGATGATGATGATGATGATGATGATGATGATGATGATGATGATGATGATGATGATGATGATTTTTATTATTATTATTATTACACATCGTATTATTATTATTATTATTGTTATTATTATTATTATTATTGTTATTATTATTATTATTATTATTATTATTATTATTATTATTATTATTATTATTATTATTATTATTATTATGGTCAATAGGCCCTAATATTTTGATGGAAAAATATGTTTAGAACACATCAGTAATTGTTAAAACAACAGTAAATTGACTGTGACCATGAAAATGCAGACACATTTCTCCAAAATGAGGGGCAAGAGGAATGACTTTAAAAATACAACTCTTGTTAAAATGATACAATGGATAAGCCTACCTGATGGCAAGCGGTGTGTGTGTGTGGGGGGGGTATATTGACCAATGCGTTTATGCCACTGCTACCTTGTCGTCTGTGTTATACTATACAACTTCAGTGGCAAAAAAAGCCACTCTAATTATAACCATCATGAGTCGCCAGTAGCTAGTTTTTAGTGGTAATATAAATCATACTATTATTATGATATTATGTCTTCAGTAATCGAATGTCGTCAGTGATATCTCAAAGATGTCCATGTTGTTTGAACTGTGTCGTCAGTAGTAGGCTACGTCTATGTGTTGCTTACCTTAACTGTTGTCACAGAAGTACCATTCGGAGAATTTTCCTCCACATCTCCCATAATCGTAGTTTGCTTGAATTGAGGGCTGTAGTCATTGACATTACGAATGTGTAAAACCACATCAGCCGTCGCGTTCCAACCAGAAGGTGAAGGTCCCTGGGCGACAAGCTGTGAACGAACAATGAACAGGAGGCAAGCCAATAAAGTATGATTAGTGCAAAAATTTAGTGTCCTCAAAAATGTATTTCTATGACTTGCATTGACATAAAAGGCCACCAGCAATTGGTCGCTTTTAAGGACAAGTGGGCTAAACCAGATTTTGGGGGTTTCCAGAAATCTTGAACAACACCAAAAGTGGGCATTGCCCTACCTATAAGAGAAGTTTGGTTTCATTGGTGAGTATATTTGTTTGGTTATAGAGAAAACTCTCCTTTGTCTCTTAAAAGAAACTGAACAAGGATCCAAAAACTTCACCTTTGATTTTCTCAAAACAGCATTTTTGGGGAGAGCCCCCTTTTTCTTATAAAAGTGATCAATTATTACTGAGGATTATAAACCTGTAAATTACTTGGGTCTAATACAGAGCAAATCAATAATATTTTTTTAATCAACTGACTTTTGTGCTGACAATAAATCAATTTCAGCTGTATAGCTTTTTGAACTTACTTTTACTCTTTCCGCCACCTCCTGTAACCCTGCAGTGTCAAGGGGGAGAAGAAAACGTTTGATGGATCGCCTGTAATTGTGGTTATGTTGTTCTTGACTTAGACATTGTTTTTTTTTTACCCTCTTCTATCCATCGTTTCCTCGTTTCCTGGGCCTGCTTTTCTTCCGTTTTGAACGTAATACATGTAATATGTCATAAATAGGCCTATCATACATTTTATTTCCTTACTTTGAAAAGAAAAACACATAATCGAATTGCAATGTCTGTATAGGCCTATAGTCAGCCATAGCCATCTACATACCTTGATTGTCACAGTCTGTCTCTTCTCGAAGTCGAGATATGTTGAGTTTTTCACTCGAATTATGAAGTTGCTTTTCGACTGCCCTTCTGTTGGTGAGACTTCAAAATTTTCTCTTTGATCTGTGGTGATCTGAACTGTGAACTTGGCATTGGCACCCTGTAACAGATAGGAAAGCTAATACGCAAGAGAAGATTTGTATTCAACACGTGCTTTTCCTATTTCGTTGAAGTCGCTATACGAAGTAAGATTAACAAATCGGACTTAACTAAAAAGTCCCATATTTGAAGCCAGTTATTTTGAATGTCAAACGCCATGATCTTTCTACAACACATAGATAGCCGTGTTATGCCGTGTCGTGTTGTGTAGTGTTGTGTTGTAGCGCAGTGCGGTGCTGTGTAGTATGTTCTGTTAAAAACTTCAATACACACAGGCACATAAACAAATGCATGAATAAATGAATAAATATACACACACAGGGCGGAAGGTCGACTTGTTTGACAGGGTAATCAACGTGAGACAAGGAATTAGATATCAGGTCGCACACGAAAATTTCCCAGGAACAAAATAAATAGAACATCTTACTCGAGGTGGCATCACTGAGTTGTGAAAGGAAACAAATCTTGAATCCAATATTATATTGTATGTTCGACCGCCAAGATAATCTTGAAAATGTCTCAATATTTATTCCCATACTCCTTTGGGCAAAACGTAATCATTAAATTTAAACGTGCAGTGGAAATAATGGTCTCAAGCTTTTTAAACTAAAGCTTAATTTAACTAAAGATGTGAATACACAAACAAAATGAAGAAATGACTATACTGTTCTACAAATGTATTATCATCATCATCAATGCCATTCACCACTGGCAGGGTATAGTCCACATACAAGCTCCTTCCATTTATCTCTGTCCTGAGCCATCCTTCCAAGCTCGTTCCAAGTGAACTTCATCTCTCTCATGTCCCTTTCCACGCATCTCCTCCATGTTTCCCGTGGGCTACCCGTGCTCCTTGTGGGTTCCACTGCAGTGACTGTCTTGTGATGTTTCCGCTGGGCTTTCTTAAGGTGTGTCCCATCCAACGCCACTTTCTTAGTCCTATTTCTACTTCTATATCCTTTTGTCCTGTCCTTTCCCACAGCTCTTTATTTCTTATTCTATCCCACCACTTAATTCTTAGAATACTCCTCATACATCTGTTGATAAAAGTCTGGACTTTATTCAGTACTGTCTTCGTTGTCTTCCAAGTTTGGCAGCCGTAGAGGTGCACAGACTTGACGTTGGAGTTAAAGAGTTGTAAATTGGTGCGCAGTGAGATGTGCTGACCTAGCCTTGGCGGTTCTTGTTTTAACATCTGCCTCGGTTCCACCTTTACCATCGATGACACTTCCAAGGTAGGTAAAGGAGTCCACTTCTTCCATGGGAGTGTCTTCCACTGTCACAGCAGGGCTTGAAACTTTTCCTAGCTTCACTACTTTTGACTTGCCTGGGTGTATACGTAGACCAACTCTCCTTGATAGGCTGTTGAGTTCTTTGGTCTTTTCTTGCATCTGAGCATGTGTGAGAGAGCAGTGCAAAGTCATCGGCGAAGTCCAAGTCGTCCTGCTGCTGCCAAGGGATCCATTGTATTCCATTACGTTTGCCTCTGGTGGCTTCTTCCATGACCCAGTCAATTGCCAGTATGAAGAGAAAAGGTGAGAGCAAGCATCCTTGTCGCACTCCTGTCTGTACCTGGTTTGGTTCTGAGAGTTGCCCTTCGTGGAAGACTTGGCAGTTTGTTCCACCATATGTGGCCTTCACAAGCTTGACGATTTTCTCAGGTATTCCAAAATGCCGCATGAGTTTCCACAGTTTCCCTGTCCACGCTGTCAAACGCCTTTTCATAGTCAATGAAGTTGACCACGAGTGGTGAATTCCATTCAAGCGATTGCTCAACAATAACGCACAGAGTAGCGATCTGGTTCAAACATGATCGGTTTTTGCGGAATCCTGCCTGGTTTCCTCGAAGCTTCTCGTCTGTTGCCAGGTTGATTCTCTCCAGGGGTATCCTGTTAAAGACTTTCCCAGGTATGGACAGGAGTGTAATGCCTCTGTATTGTTACAATTGCTGAGGTCTCCCTTCTTTGGCAGCTTGATTAGTTGGCCCTCCTTCCAGTCTGATGGTATTTCCTCCTTTTGCCAAATCTTTTCAAATAGAGCTTAGAGAATCTCCACTAACGTATCTTTATCTGCTTTAAGGGCTTCCGGTGGTACAATGTATGTGGTCGGGACCAGCTGCCTTGTGGGACTTCAGTGTTTTTATAGCGGCTGCAATTTCCTCTCTTGAAGGTGGTTCTGTAAATATTGGGAGGTCATTTCTGGCTGGAAGAATTTCTGGTTGGTTTTCTGGAGGTGGTCTGTTCAATAGTTGATCAAAGTGTTCTCTCCATCGGTTAAGTTGCCCCTCTGGGTTGAAGATAGTCTTTTCCTCTTTGTCTTTCACTGGTATAGTGGGCTTGCTGAACCTACCTGAAAGAGTTCTTGTAGTCTAGTGTATAATCCGCAAGTCCACGTCTGTTGCTTCTTTCTCTGCCTTTTCGGTCAGGCTATTCAGGTAGGTATTCTTGTCCTTCTTGATGGATTTTTTTTACCTCCCGGTTTGCTTCGGTGTCCTCTTGTTGTGCAGCGAGTTCCTCAGTTCGGGTACGGCTGTTGTTGACTTGGGCCTTCAGCTCTCTTTTTCTTTTGACTTTGTCTAAATAGTTCTGTGAAATCCATTCATTCCTGGTGTTGTCTTTGGGTCCTAGGGTGCTATGGCAAGTTGCATTTACTGCCTCTCTTAACTTATCCCTGTGTTCGTTGACTTCACATTCACCCAGGTCTTGAAGGGCTTGAAATCTGTTCTTCAGTTCCAACTTGAATTCATTCTTCTTTGCTGGGTCTTTCAGAAGGCTCACTTCATACTTTAGACGATTTCCAGTAGTGACTTGTGCATATCTTCTCAGTTTTAGTTTCATCTTTCCAAGGATCAAATGATGATCTGATGCGACATCTGCTCCTCGTAAGACTCGCACGTCCTCCAATGAGCATCTAAACTTTCGGGAGATGCAAACGTGGTCAATTTGGTTTTCCGTTGTTCCGTCCGGGGAGACCCAAGTGGCCCTGTGAATCCCTTTATGTGGGAAGATTGTTCCTCCAATGACCAGGTTGTTGAATGTACAAAAGTTTGCAACCTTTCTCCGTTGTCATTTGCGTCTTCTAATCCGTGTCTGCCCATGATTTCCTAATAGTGACTATTGTCCGAACCTACCTTTGCATTTAGATCTCCCATGACAATGTTGATGTTCTTACCTGGAAGTTTGTCGATGACGCTCTGCAGGCGGTTGTAGAAGTCATCTTTATTCTCCACTTCTGCATCATTGGTTGGAGCATACACTTGTATGGTGTTTATGTTTATGACCTTCTTCCTACCGTCTCTTACCTTGAGTTATTTCTTAGTTCCAAACGAGGCTATGATGATCCTTGGACCATGTGCTTCCCAGCCCCTGAATGTCTTTTGAGCTGTTTTTGATATGATCATCCCTACTCCTTCCCTGTGTGGTCCATCACTGTCATTTCCTGAATAAATGAAAAGCTCCCCCTCTTTCACTCGCTTCTGTCCAGACTGGTTCAAGTGGGTCTCGCTGATTCCCAGTATGTGTAGTTGGTATCAGTGCATTTCTTGGAGAACGTGTGCAGTTTTTCCAGCCTCATAAAGGGTCCTAACGTTCCACGACCCGATCCGAAGAGACTTGGATTTGGATGATGATGGAGGCCTCTGTCCAGCAGCTTCCTTTCGGCTTTCACTGCCTCGCATCATAAACTCTCCATTTGGAGAAGATCCACGATCAGGCAAGCAGAGATTAATGATTTTTGCTTGTATGTGTTTCTGTAACAGGTTCTTTTTACGAGAGAGGTTGTTAGCCTCGTGACTCAACCCCCGACCTGGAGGCAGGACGACTCTGTTTCATGAGTCACTACCTGGTTCGCCATTTAGTCGCCTCGTGCGACACGCTAGCACCACGTCAGTCCTATTCTTCTCAATGCCGAGACTGCATGGCTAAAATGTATTATAATACATGACTATTGTCAAAGCTGTTTTTGTCTAGATCTAGCCTTTTGCGGTCAGGAGCCGATGTCATAATTGATAATCGAGGACATGATCAGTTTATAGGGCGGTAAAAAGCCGAGGGGAAAACCATAACAACAACAACAGCAACAACAACAACCAAGCACTCAAAGCCGCCATGAGTTTAAATAATATTAGCATTAGCCCCCTCACTTTCGAGAGGGAGGAAGACTCCAGTCTATTAGCTCTCATAATACAGTACGTGCTTGTAACTGCTAAAAGAAAGTGGCCCGAAATGGGTGAACAAGGTACATGTATTCAGGTGGCAATGAAACATTTTTGAGCGCTGTGCACACGTTACAGACCAGACCATCAATGATTAATTATTTATAGAGGCACCAGCCATCCATGTCCAGGTGCTGTTTTAGCCTCTTTTTCCTGTATTCGGATTAATAATATCGTTTTGCCAATTTATTGCTTCCGCTTCTATGTA